ATAAACCAAACATCGACGGATGTTTTCAATTCAAATACAATACCAATTATTTGTGATCATAGCATGGCCATAGTAAACGACTAAACGTACCTTGTGTTCTCGAATTCTTCATCCTTTTCGTGCAAACGTTTGTCAATATCAGCCTTAGCATTGGCGATTTCAATTTGAGCACGTGCAACCTTAGCTTCTTCTTGTTCAAGTGTTTGTTCTGCTTCTTCAAGAGCAGATTGGAGCTCATCCTTCTCCATTTGAACTCGTTTGCGTAATTTTTCAACTTCATAAACGCTTCGTCCACCCTCGTTGATTTGTTCATTGAGATCTCTGATTTCATCTGAAAAGAACATCACAGTATTAATTTTTTCAAGAAGGCAGATCATCACCCTGATGGTCTGTCTAATGGATCAAAATCGACATAATGACATAATTTCTGCTTAGCGAGCCTTTGATTTGTATGATTCTACTGTTATTTCTTCCATAATGCTTTTTTAACACCTACAACACAGCTACAAAATGTGACCCTTAATATCATCTTGATACGCGTTGGCAGCTAACCTATCAACTCAATAAATTGAATACACTAAATATAATAGTAATAAGAACATACCGGCAAGATTTTTATTTTCACGTCTCATGCTTTCTAAGCTATCTGTAGCTTCCTCCTCTTTGGCCTTTGATCGGAAGAGTTCAGCAGAGATGCTTCTTGATTCTCTCTGGGCTGCCTCGAGTTCACTTGAGAGATCGGTTACCTTAGTCTGCCATTCTTGGATAGTCTTATCGAATCCACGCTGCTTCTTCTCCAACATGTTGGCGTTGGCATTGGCCTGGAAAAAGTTACATATTTGATCAGATACCATTTAAGAATACATGCACTTTTGGATAAATCAATTATGAATTGTAAATCAAATCCTGAATAAGAATTGAAAGTGTCGTATACTCTATTGAACTCTGGGATTTGGACGCTGTGCTCTTAGAACCTTGCATAATACTTGTGATCTACCCCCTTCTCCATTTTCGCCAATGATTAAATACTTACACGTTCAACGTCGATCATAAGGTCCTCGAGTTCACCAGTGAGTCTGGATTTAGCCTTCTCCAAACCACCAACTTTAGCGTTGGCAGCATCAAGTGCTTGTTCAAGATCGCTGACCTTTGATTGAAGTTTTCGTCTGAAAAGCAAAATGTTTGTTTTATTAGACCACAAATATCTTCTTGATTATTAAAAACGCTTAATCGTTCCGTAACGTTCTATACCAACGCACAATGGCTTGCTATATAAAACCAACTGATTATGATTCACTATTCTGTGAATGAATCTGACAACTTTGTTCGTGCCCGCTGTTGTCCATGAGTGCTAATCAATTATGTTTAATTCAAGTCTTGTTTTATTTATTATTTACTGTACAAAATGTTCTGAGAGATATGCTACTTACTTGGAATCTTCGAGTTCTTCGGCTTTAGCGGCACCTTCACTTTCGTATTTAGTTCTCCATTGTTGAGCTTCAGCATTGGCTCTAGACAATTGTCTTTGAACGTCGTTTCTGGCTTCTTGTTCTTCCTCGAGTTGTTCACGAAGACCGTCGAGATCTGATCGAAGGTTTCTGACTTCGTTTTGGAGTTTCTGTCTGAGTCGTGATTCATCTTCGAAAGATCTTGAGGCTTCCTCAAGTTTGGAGTTGATGGTGTTCTTGTCTTTGGTAAGTTGACCGACTTTATGTTCGGCTTCTTCCAATTGTCTTTGGAGTTCAGAGCTTTCTCGCTGGTACTTGTCTTTGCCTGATTGAAGTTCGCTAATGGTTCGGTTGGCTTCATCGACCTTGGCATTGAGTTCTGCTATTTGAGATTCGACTTGTTTGGACATCTTGTCAGACATACCCTACAAAAGACATGGAATTAAGCATGTAGATCGATACTTTACTTTACGATCGGTACACCACAAAAACATCTAATTATTAATGTTTCTCTTTCATTAGTCCATTCTTCAGGTGCGGTTTAGGCTAGTCTAAATCTACTTTTTCTATGGAAGAGTGCCATCAATAGCAACCAATGAAAAAGATAACTGCTAACGGTTATACTTACTCGGTTCTTGCTGGCGTTTTGGAGTTGAGCTGAAACATCTTCAACTTCAGCTCTAGCTTGATTCTTTTCTTTCTCCAATCTACAAACATGAAAAGCAGTTCATGTGTATTAAAATTTTGGGTGTAAATCTCTCCTATCATGCCCATTTGTCTAGATAATTCTTTCCAAAATAAATGTAAATTTACTTGCATCCTTACTGTACGTATGTTACCGTTAACGCTCCTGACCATTCGGTATCCTATCTTTTGATCTTTTTTTTTTAAGAATTGGTTTGTTTTACTTTCAATTTTCAAATAAAATTTTCAGTTGAGTTACTCTTGTAGTAAGACATTCAACTTACTTGCTCTTGATCTTCTGGAGTTGGTCGATTTGATCTGACAACTCGTTGTTGGCATCTTGAGCCTTCTTTCTGAGAGAAGCGACTTGAGAATCATGTTGAAGCTGGCTTTCTTCAAGATCACGCCTGAGTTTCAATAATTCTTGTTCACGTTTCTTGTTGATTTCAACTTGAGCGTGTGTAGCGCCACCAGCCTCATCAAGTCTTTCACCAATATCTTCAAGTTCGCGAGACAGTTCATTACGTTGTTTCTCAACCTGTTAATGATATTGCAATAAAGGTTTTTTTGGTGATGGAGTTGATATTTGAGTTTGTGGCTTTAGAAAAAGGTCAGGTCCTGCTCTAAGATAAAATGGGATCAGTTGTTGTAAATATATGCATTAAATCACATAAAATTTTCAGTATATTCCTATTGTTTGACACCTTCAGTATTGTAATAGAATGGATGTTTTTTTTCAGTCTTTTAGATTTTTATCCATTGAACTTCACTCGTAAACTAACTGAACTATGATACCAAATTTGTATAATATCGAAGACATGAAAAGTTTTGCTTACCTTAGATCTAGATTGTCTTTCAGCTTCGAGTTCTTCTTCAAGCTCTTCAATTCTGGCCTGTTAAAAGCAAAACAATAACTACACACTTGAAATATATTTCATGAACATCGTCCGTCATCAAGACTACAATTTTGTAGGTTTTTTTTGTCATTTGGGCGTTGACTACAATATGTAATGGGTCTTGTATGATAAATAATAAGTAATATCTATAAGCACCTGAAGTTCTTTGATCTTTCTCTGAAGTTGAGCAATGAGATTCTGTTCATCTTCAAGACGGCTGTTGAGGGATCCGATTTCAGCGTCCTTCTTTCTGCCGGCTTCTTCAAGATCACGTTTGTTTCTTTCCAAATCTTCAACAGTTTCTTGAGTTGCTTTAAGATCTTGTTCCAGCTTTCTCTTGGCTTTTTCAACATCACCTCGTGTCTTCTTTTCACGTTCGAGGTTGTCTTCAAGCTAAGAAGAAAAACGTGATTTGTAAACCCTCTGTGAAACTACTAGATGATATCCGAGTTAGGATTACCATGCATAAGTTAAGACTTTGGTTTTCAGAAATTGGTTTGTCTGGAGTACCTTAGGTGTCTTAAATGTAAACATTTTGAATAGGATATTAAACAAAAGTCTCTTTAGTACTGTCATATACGGATCCCTTACCAAATCTAGATTTTATGGAAGATCTAATGGGTCAAAATGATGAATTTAAAAACAGTTTAGTGTGCGATCAGGTGCTTTATTCCAATTAACGGTTTTGTGACTATGTATTTCCAGATAGGAAAATGCAAAATTAGACATGAACACTGACTGTATGAACATACCTCATCAAGAGTTTGCTCCAATTTTGTTTTGAGTTTGCTAAGATGGTTGACTTTGTCTTCTTCAGCCTGGAGATCCTCTAATAATTTCTTAGTGTTTTCATCTGAATTCTTGGTAGCTTTGTTTAATTTAGCGATTTGTTCATCTTGTTGGGCCATCTCATCTTGGAGTGTTTTGATCTGGTTGTCTTTGGTCTGTTTGTCTTGTTCAGCTTTGTTGAGATTGGATTCCATATCTTCTAAGTCTCTCTTCAATTTTTCTTTATCGGCAGTAAGCTTCTTTTTAACTTCTTCCAATTCGCCAGCAGCATCTTCTTCATCAAGCAGACGTTCTTCCATTTCTTTCATTTGGGTTTCAAAGTCGATTTTCTGCTTAATGAGATTTTCGATTTGTTCTTGGCGATCAGCAAGATTATCAAGTTCAGCCTGCATCTGAATGTTCATATCTTCGTTCTTTCGCTGGAGAACACTGTTTTGTTCTGAAAGTTCTTTGCAGAGTTTTTCGGACTTCTCCAATTCGACTTTGGTTTTCTCGAGAAGTTCCTCTTTCTGTTTCATTTCATCTTCAGCTCTGGCAATGTTCAAAAGAGGCTTTACTTTGGTGTACATCTTCCACCAGAGCCAGTTTCTCATAGACAACCATTTTCTGATGTTTCTCTGGATGATAGACAGACCAGTTCTGAAAAGAAAGAGCATATCAATATGGATCGATATCCCCAAAGGACATAACATTTTCATCCCCACTAGGAAAACGTAGTGTGGAGTTAAATAACTGAATAATTTTCCATTTCAATCGATCAGACAGACGAATTCGTCAATTAAAAGCTGCAATTTTATGAGCTACACCTACCTTTGATCTTCCAGTTTCTTGTAGTTTCGTCTCATGAGAAAACCACGGACAAAGGCTTGGAAGTTAGAAATGATGCTGGTTAATCTTTCATCACGAAGATCTTCAAGGTAACCTAAAACACCAGCTTTGAAGAAGACTTTGGTTGAACCAAGTTTGTATTCATTGGTGTCCATCTGAAGAGCTTGGAGAATCTTGGTAGCAACAGTTTTACCATCAACAAAACCATCAGGGATGGCGTTGGGAGCCAAGATAGAGTATCTGAAAAATGTATGTATTTATTGGTAAGACATATGTTGCTGATACCTTCTGAATCAAATAGGATTTTATGATCAAAATGCTCTGAAGATCCCAGTATGCAGAAAAAAACAGATTTCTAGCAAAGTCTCACATTAATTGCATACCTCTGTTTGAATTCACCGTAGATAATTCTGTTGGGGAATCCTTTTCGGCAAATACGGATACCTTCCAATACACCATTACATTGAAGCTGGTGAAGAACCAAATGGGCGTCGATCTCTCCGGGTTCTTTGAACTCGTTGGGAATAATACAACGAACAAAATGGGGATGAGTACTGTATAAGTTCTTCATCAATTTATTCAAAGATTCCTGAAATATATTGATGAATGGCGAAAACATTAATTTCAGCAAATGGTATAAACCGAATGTCTTTTCTGATTTTAATGCCGTGGAAGGATTACGTTATTAAGATATTGAATTAACTGCAGTATACGGCTACATAGTTCGATATGTCTATGTTAAAAAGTCATAACCTGAAGCGTAATGGTATTGGTAATGATCATCGATTTGAAACATAACGACTTACCTTGTGTACAGAGGAGATAGTCTGGAAAGCAGAACTCTTCTGTTTCTTCTTAGTACCACCAGCTTCAGGCTCTATAAAATATGAATATAGTTGGTTATGACCAGCCAAGACTTAATATATTCATAGTAATATCACGAGGATCATGATCAGTTAGACTCTTGGACTTAAAAAATTTAATTCCTTCATGCAAACATAGCCTTCTGGAACAGTTGCGACCACAGTGGGTCTGTGAACTCTATTAA